TTCTATATCTTCTGCATCAGTGCAACACTGCGTTTCAAGTTATGGGTACTGGCAAAGTTTCATATTTTTTCATTCGGTAGTTTTTGAGAATATACTGTTCGCAAAATTTGGCCTTAGCTCCATTAGTAGTGTCAGTGAGTGGATCCACAAATCACTGCTTTGCAAGGTCCTGTGGCAGACATTGTAAGCTGCAATGGGGGATTACTTACAGTGATATCAAGATGAACTTGAACATCTGTTCTCAGTCACTGTGAGAGGAAAAAGTTGACGTATCTTGACACTCCAACCCCCCTCCCCCACACACACACACACACAACAGTTACATTTTCGTTTGAAGATACAGAAGCAGTTGCAGGGATGTAGTGGATAGCTTTTTGATAAATCAAAATCTAACGAGTAAGAATTCCAGTCAAACAATAGTTGCAATTCCGGTAGACCTTGATAACAAACACAGATACATTGTTAATTTTGTTAAATTTTGCAATACATTAAAGATGCAATGTACTTAAAAATGAAATTTCTGACGTAAAGGATACACACTTAGAAGAAACTTTACGATGTAGTCTGCAAGGACTGTGCAGGGATATTGGAAGATTCCTCATCTTCCCATGCAAAGCACCTGACCCTCATCAGCCAGAAACAATTTGAACATTGTCGTCATGGTGGCTTGAAAAATCCAGTTTTAAACTTGTGGAATTTGTTGGGTTTTTTTGAAGCTGCATAAAAAAAAAAATGCATTTTAAACCTTTGATGAACAGAGCGCACAGTAGACAGAATCTAAAGCTGAAAATGCCCCAGGGGCCAGTAATTGAAAACAAAGGTGATTCCTGTAAATGCAACACAGTGGGCTATGAGTCAGTGTATTTATTAACATCAGACTGCACGATGATCTTTTATTTACTGTGCTGTCAGAAATTCGTGGCGCACGGGTGAATCAATTTAACCTAAACACAGCAGTTTGTATCAATTTATCTTAACGTATTCATATTTTTCCACAACAATGGAGGCAAGATTTAAAAACGTATCTTCATGAATTTATATAAAATACTAAAATGGGACCAACCGCTCACCCCTCAGCTCGTGTTATAGTAACACTGCGTGTGTTGTGTGAGCTCATTAATGCGCAGAACAACGCGCGCAGTCGCTGGCCTCGATTCTTCGACGATGCTCTAAGGCCGAAGAAGGATTGCACCGTCTCAGTATTTACGGTCTCTGCCAATGACTTTGCAAGTTATCTTGACCTCGTAGAGCGTCTCTTGGCCGAGATATCGATCGATAAAGTGACGCGGTCCAACTGAGCGACTACAGGCTATGTGTTATCTCTTGTTTCCCTGTCATCATCATCTTCATCATTGCCTTTCTCACCCTGCACCAGGGTATAGGCCACGGACAAACACCTTCCACCTTTCTCTATCCTGGGCTAGCCTCTTGATGTTATTCCGTGTCTTCCCACTTTTCTGTGATTCTTCTCCAGGTTCCACAAGGTCTTCCCCTTGATCTCTTGCTGCTGTGTGTTATCTCTTGTTTCCCTGTGCTGATGTACTAATTGTTGAGTTTATCGCGTTTTGCGATGATTATACAAAGTTATTTTGTACACCACCTGTCTAGTCAGATCAAGCTGCAAGTTAATTACATCCAGTCCCCCCAAAAACTATGCGCTGAAAGAGTTAATTAACCACTTCAAGCTTGTCATGATTTAAGGCTGGAATCTATGTATATGTACTCACCCGCTTCCGTACCATGTACCTTTAAAGTATGAATTGTAGTATGATGGTGATCAGAATATGTGTACTTCTAATTATTATTGTTTAACTACTTTGCCACTTTAAGATAAGTAGGTCTACAATGTAACTAGTTTAATAAAATTCTGTGAAAATCTACTTTGTATTCTTTGTAAATTTCATTTTGATTCTACCAAAAACACTCTTAATGCTCGGAAGAAATAATATTTGCAGTTGTCTTAAAGTCCATGTCAATATTAAATTCGTGTACCCAAATTAAGCTCAATTATTTGTAATGGCAAATGGAAAAAAAACTTCATTTTGTCCATCTGCCAACCACCAACTCTGTCAGTTGTGTATGGTCTTTATTAAACTAACTGTAAATTTACCCCATTGTATTGCCAGCAAACTGGCTGCCAGAAGCTCACAGTACACACTAGACTACATACGGCACGTTAAGATTTCAGATATTACGGATGGATCTAGAGGGATGTAGTGTGTTGCAAGCGAACACAATACAATTTTGTGTAATTAATGTATAAGAGTACAATTTTTAAAAATATAATCCGACTAAATTTGATCTATGAAAGTGCTATCATTTTAGGTCTTGGTCAATTTAAAAAAAGAAAATGATAGTTCATTTTTAAGTCACCTGGAGAACCTTTAAAGAAACCTCACTGTCTCGCCCGCCCTTGGCAAAATATCTGGCGTTAATGCCAGATATCAGCCCCATAACATACAGGCTGGCAAAGGCCCATGGGGCTTTTATTTAGTAAGACGCTCAAGTCTTAGTGACAAATCATAGGGAGATAACTCATTACTTCATCTAGTGATTGGTAAACAAATTCTCTTGACGTTGGGCAGTCTGGGCTACCTGTATTTAACAGAAGACATGAAAACCTCATTGTACCGCCAGCCCGATTGAACTGCCAACTTAATGCTTGCCACCAAGGTAGGTGTTTTCCTTTCCAAAGTGTAGGTCAATCACATCCTAGAGAAGTATTATGGCTTGTCTCTGTATTGGTCTTAGCTTTTGGTTGATTTGTCTTTTTTTGTAAATGGACAAGCTGAATTTTATTTACCTAGAGGTTCCACTGTATTTTGTTAACTTTAATGGGTGGTTGTCAGGTGCCCGGGTATGATTTGCTCTTTCTTTCCTATCAAAGTGTCTATTGTTCTCATCTCTCCTCCTCCTATTCTGAGATTTTCATATGATCAATTTGTGTTGCGAGTGCTGTTTAACTTTTACTTAAACTAAATATAAACGAAATTAATTTTTGTTTTTTTGTTTTTTTAAAATCCAGACCTTCCAGGAGCCAAGAACAACAGCGGTTCTACCTGGCGTGTTTTTTCAAATTATGGAAGAAGTCGACGTGGTGGCCTAAGAGCATCAGGCTCACAGGTGCCTCTGACGCCAGAGGCACGCCAGCGGTTGTTGGAGAGGCGTCAGCAAAGAGCCGAGGACTCTCGTGTCCGGGTTGAGAAAAAAAGGTTGGCTCTTGAGAAATATCGGATTCGACAACGCGAAGTGAAACGACAACGCGAATTGCTCGATCGCCTTCAGATCGAGAACTCGCCCACCAAGCCTGGAGATGGCTCTGATTCTCCCACTGGCGTTATCATATCTAGCCCTCACAGAAAGTTTAAGTTTCAGTCTTTCAGAGGAGGAAGGGGTAAAGGTAACTCTGTAAAGCGGTTGAGTTTAGAGGATGCGTCCTCACCTCATGGTGCATCTGTGAAGAGCAAGTCCTCTCTGTCTTCTAGTGGCAGCAGTCACACGTCCAAGCATGAGACACCCAACTGTTCCAAAAGTGCCAAACGCATCTGCATGGATGCAGATGTTTTGGGTCGTATTGATCAAGTTATTGAAGATGTAGCAAAAAATTCGACTTCATCAAGTGTGTCAGTAGCTGCGTGGGAGGATGAAGGGTTGCAAGAAGACAATGAAGGGTCGCAAGAGGATGACTCTAGGACAAAAATAGACCCTGCTGAGGACTCTGAGACTTTCGACCTGCAAGAGGACTCCTTCTCTGGGGATGAAGTGGAAGTTTCTTCATCGTCTTTTGAGTCTAAGAGAAATATAGTTGATGCTTCTTCGTCTACAAATAGCGAATCCACCAAATCTCTCAGAGGAAGTGGTGGAGCTGAGTCGTCACGCCCTGTGATCGCTGATGCTGATAGCAGCACGCAATCGTTAGAAAGACGATCAAAACGACAAGTGAAACGGATCAACTATGCAGAGTTACTTGAGGATGATTATGAAGACGAATCTTCATCACAGGCAAAAGGCAGTAAACCTAAGAAGTCTGAATCTGTTTCTATATCTTCTGCATCAAAGTTGGCTCAGAGTGAAAGTGGCACGGCATCTGGTGAGTCTGTCAGTGAAGCTAATGAGGTCAGCTCATCTGTGTGTGAAGCCAACAAGCCAATTCTCTTCAATGACGAGGGTGGGAGTGTAGGACAAAAGAACCTCCCACTGAGTCAGGTAGGTGCTTGTGACCTGAACACTCACAACTTGGAGAGATCCACGCCTGCAGCTCAGACTTCAGACCCAAGCCCGAAACCCTACCACGTGAAGAATCTTTTTCCTTCAAATCCTCAAAACAACAGTGATTCTCAGCAGACACCACGTTTGTCTGGTCATTTACATCCGCACATGTCTGTGCAGTTCTTGACTGGACAAACAGTGACCCCTTACCACCCTGGTGATCAGTCAGAAAGTGCTCCCCCTAATTTTTTGTTGAATGTGGCAAGCACAAAATGTGATGGAGACAAGCTGTCTCCCAGGACACCGGACAATTCTCGAGAGACTAGCCACCACAAATCAGGACACTCTCCTCCTCCTGCTGCTTCTACAGCTTCCCTGCCCACGCCTGTCAACTGGACGGTGCAGAAAGAAAGAACTAGCAATGGAAAGCTCATTTTGCGGAAGAGTCCCTCCGGTACTTCAGCAGACCAGTTTGTAGTATCCCTCGAAGCACCCCCTGTTAGTCACCACAGCTCAACTAAACTACCTCACAATTTGATTCCTTGTCCTCAGGGAAACTTCCCATCTCCTTCACATGATCGACTTTCCTCAGGGATGACAAGTGTCTCTGCAAGTCTGTCCCAGTGGGGGGACTCCTATGGCCACTTGTCCTCCTCGCATTACACAGCCAAGGAGGCTACTGTCCACTACCGAGCTGGTTTACCGCCGGAGGCCCATCCACACTCGCAGGTTAAGCTGCCGAAGTGTGCCCTTCCTCCCCTTCAACCAGAAAGCCAATTTTCTGTCCCCGACAGCAGAGCTCCTATCAGTTCATGCTTGGTTTCTGTTAGCAGGAGAGATCATTTAGGTCCCATGTTGCCCCCATCCCTCCCCTTGTCACAGTCACTCTCTTTACCACAGTCACAGCAGTCACATATCCAACTAGTGGCCTCTCCGATGGCCCCTCAAACAGGGAAGAGTGTTATGCAGACTGCAGGGCCTTTACCTAAAGGACACCCTAGAATGGTTGGTTCAGAATCAAACATCTGGCATCAGATACACTCCAGATTAAAAGTGCCTTATGGTAGAGAACCCCATCCTGGTATCCCATACCCTTTGACCTCTGGTGGAGTTCCAGTGCCTGTTCAGTCGCCATGCCAGCCTTCTCCCCGAATGCCTCAGACCCCACACAATTCCTCTTATTCTGACCCTCGCAGTCCACCCCCAGCTCACCAGAGCAAGCCAACAACAGGAGGAGTTTCTGATCGCAATTTTTACAACACAATGTACAAGGCGATGGGTTCACACCCTCTCGGTGCTACAGCTGGGCCTAAAGTGATGCCATCTGCCATTCAAAGTACACAGGTACAGCTGTCATCCGCAACACACAGAAATTCCTCATTAACTTCCTCTGGCAGCGGGAATCATCCCTATGGTTACTTTCCCCATGCTGCGTCTGCCTCTCAGCTGGTTGGGCCACGTGGACATGAGGTTGTACCCAGCAGTAGGCAACAGACGGTCCTCAAAAAGGCAGCGGTGAAGGTATCAGAAAGGCCAGGGCAGGGCGGCCAAATGACCCACTCTGGCCACAGTTTGCACACCTCTCAAGTGTTCCCCACTGACATCCCACAGATACGCCCTGATGCTCCTCATAATAAGGGCCCTCTTGCTCCTGCCCCAGAGCATGCAAGAGATAGGAATGTCTTCACTGCACGAGGGATGCCTCCATTGATTAATATGATGGATGTTATAAATACCTCCCAAAACAGTTGCTCTGTGCGGAAACCACCACCAAAGACAAAAGTAACCAATGCAGCATCTTCACAAAATGTCCATGCTGTTGAGCATGACAGCCGTGCAGCTTCTGGCAGTCAAATGTTGCACAATTTGGCTATGTCCTGGCCAGGGGTAGGAGTGCTGCTTGATGTCGCTCAAAATCCTCATCCTCAACATGTTGCTATAGTACCCAATCCTCCCCCACCTCTTGTTAGTATATCTCCCTACCAAAACCCGCAAACTGTTAGTGTATCTGCCAGCTCAAACCCTCAAGCTGTTAGTGGCAGCCCCATTTGGGCAGCATTCTCCCTCCGGCCACCATCGGCCAGTTTGCTAGTGGATGCTCAGCCAGTCAACAGGAATCAGATGGCACAGCCAGTTTCTTCTGCCTCTTCTCCTCAGACACAAATTCCACCGCAGACTTCTAAAGTGCCAGCTCCTGTGAAGAACATTAAACAAGAGAGACAAGAAATTGCAAACCAAGAAAGTGATCAGCCTTCCAGTATGCTTATTCCTTTGCGAATTCATATCAGCGATCCAAGTGTGAGTGCTAATTCTAAACCTGTTACTTCTGATAGTTTGGATAATGATAGGCTTGTCTCCACTTGCACTAGCCACCAGGCTTCTGTGGGAGTTGCCTCCAGACCAGACCAGTTACATGCTGGCCACAGAACTTCAGAGACTTCTGTGACCAAATCAGGAAGTGTGCTTCATGGGATTGAAGAGTCTGTGTCCCACTGTACTGATGAAGCTGTTGACAGCAAGGCACGTCTGTTTCAACTACGGGAACGTCCTACAGATGTAAGTTCAAACTCGCAACCAGTGTCCAAGTGTGTATCGAGACAAAGTGCATCGGAATCTTATATGTGCTCAGCTGCATCTGCTACTGTTACTGTCTCTACATCTAGTCAATCTACTTCAACTGGAGCAGTTACAAAAACAGTACCTTCAGGCAACAAGACAGTAGTGACATCACACGTTACAACACCTGGCAGTGACATGACCGCAGTTACATCACATGTGATATCACCCTTTGGCAATGATATGAGCAGCGTCGAGCGACGACACACATCTGATAGATTGAAGGAGGCTGCTGACAGCAAGTATCACTTATCTCGTCTGTTATCGCAACAGAGAGCAGCAAACCAAAGTTCAAACCCTCCCTCAACTCAGGAGTCCGTATCAACACAACGCTCGTCTCAGGCTGTTGCTAGCTCTGCAATACCCACGACGATAGCAGCTTCAGTCACAGCTGCAGCAACATCCTCTTCCGGCCCTTCTCCATCACCTCAAGCAGTGACAAGAGTGACGATGTCTCTGAACCAATCATATGTGGCTCGTTCATCTTTGTCTACCAGAACACTAGCCATGCCTGGTAGTGACCTGGGAGAGACTTCTGACAGCAAGGCTCACCTGGCACAGCTGTTGTCGCTGTCTAAAAGCTCAGACCAACATGGGACACCATCGGAGCGTCTGTCTAATCACGGAGTAACAGGATCTGTCTTGAGTCAGGTCTCTGTGGTGACTGTAGCCTCCTGCTCTGTCTCAACAGTTTCTGAATCGGCAACCCGTTCGGATTTGCTGGGATCAAACTTGGTGACAGCTGTTATGACCCAATCAGTCCCATTAGTTTCTGAATCAGTAGCCACCTCAGTATCAACAGGGTCGAATTCTGTGACCACTGTCATGGCTCGGTCCGTCCCAAAAATGACAGAATCAGTCCTCGGCTTGGCATCCACTGTAGCAGCCCCTTCCACATCCCTAGGAGACCCAGCCTCCGGTCTTTCTTCATCAACTAAACTTTCCTCCGTGCCTCTGTCTCCAACCAGAAGTTCACAGTCTGCCTTCCGGCATGTGACTCTGTCAAGGAATGAACGGTGTCCAAACGAGACCAGCGCTCATGAGACTCCATCTAGCACAGAAAGTTGTACTGACGAGACTGCCGCCCAAATATTGCTGTCTATTTCCACCAGCACCTTTGCTGAGACTACTTCTCTTCCAGGAATTGTCCACTCTGATAATAGTACACGACTGACCACATACAAATCTGGGTCGAGCTGCGGTTCTGGAGCCGGCGCTCAGCCTCTTCCAGGGGCAGTGCCCTTGACCTTTCCAGCTTCACAAAAAGGAATGGAGGTGGCTGGCTCTGCATCTTCAGTTGTCACAAATAAGGTTTTGTCCAGTTCGTCCAGTCAGCTTTCGTCTCTTAATTTGCCGCCCGCCGGGCCTCGGTCTGGAGAAACATGTACTCAAGCTCAGGTAGCAATAGTGGTTGAACCTCCTCCCCCTGCAGCGCAGTACACTGCACCCCGGGCCCCTGTGAAGGCTTCTCCCACCCTAAGAAAGTTATGGACTCCACTGGAAGACTCAATATTTGCCTGGCACACTTCAGACTCAGCCCCTGATAGGTCTGAGAGGTTGCCTGCCGGGCACGTGACGGTCAACTGTCCTGATGATCTATGTCTGCCCACTACTGGTGTCTACACTGTGTCGGTCACTGTGGCTGATGGATGTGGTCAAGGCTTGGCAGTGACCACCTGTGGACAAGATCAGTCTGAAGAGCTGTGCATCAAGCAAGAGCCACAGACTCCTGTGAGGACCCTCAACAGGAGGGAGGTCATTGATCTTGTGGACTCCGACACTGACCATGAGGAAGATTTACCTCCAGGTCAAGACGAGGTTAGGGACTCTCTGGCTTCTGGCATCTCAGATATGGCTATGGATAAAGTGTTGGGTGGTGTGGAGGAGTCTCAAGCAGGAAGTGAGGGGGTATTCCATGAGCGAGAGTCACCTGCAGTATCAGATGTGGAGGTTGTCGCCGTGAAAGAGGAAGCGGTGGTACCTGCGCAGCCATTTGTTCCTGATGAAGTAATTGAGATAGACAACTCAGATTCTGATGATGACCAGAGTGACCTTCATATTAAGGAAAAGGACGGCTCTATAGATAGATCTAGTCTCCAAGGTTTTTCTCAAAGAGTTTGTGTGGTAGAGGATTTGTCCGAAGCTGAACATCTTGTCAGAGATACCAGTGTTTACAGCTGTGATGCTCTTCCTATCCAACAGCCTTCTGAACATTCAGCAGTTAAAGATGTTTCTCCTGCTCAGGAACTCTCAGACTCTCCGAGACACACAGCTGGTAGTTCTGTATCTGTTGAAAAGCACTCTGAAGTTCAACGAAACATGTCTGAGGAAATCCCTTCTGAAGGTGTGTCTGAACGGCAACCAGAGAGGCCAATGTTGGACTCTGTAAGTACAGCTGTCATAGCCAAAAAGGAGCATCATCTCTCAGACAGCTCTGAAGGGCCTGTATCTCACTCCAGCTCTCAGCCAAGCTGCATGCTGCCCAACCATGTGGGTGGACCTCTGAACCTGACAGAGAGACAGCTGGAGTACATTCAGAATCGTCTAGCTCGGGTCAGTCAGGACGTGGCAGCTATCACAGCCGGCGGTCAGCCTCTCACGAACTCTCCGTCCAGTCGAAGGTTGTCTACTTCCTCCACCGGTGGACTGAGCTCACCTTTGTCGATAGACAATGCTGCAACTTCGTTGGGTCTGTCCCGAAAAAGTGGCGCCAACTCGTTAGCAGCACTGAAAAATGTAAAGAGGGAAAGAGATGAAGAGGATGACAGTATTTACATTTCTGAAGAGGATGATGTGGAGGAGGAGGAGGATGAGGAAGCTAACCAATCCCTCTCTGGGGCTTCATTGTCTGGGTCAGGGACTAGCACCATGGAGAGCAATGTCCAGAAGTTACTGCTCGCCCTGGGCTCCTGGAGTCCAGCGGATGTCCGGGAATGGCTGAAGAAGAACAAGCTGGACTGTGTATGTCCAAAGTAAGTACCTAAATATGATTATTGCATTTATTATTAAATAATAGCACATTTTCATGCTCTAATAATGATAATAAATGATAAATAGCATTTGTATAGTGCATGCCCCCACTCGAAAGCAAGCTCTATGCGCTTTACACTATATTATTACCCCAGCAGACCAGAGGACACTCACATTCTCAGCTTCCTGGGAAGCATACAGTGCAAGCAGCTGATTAAGCGCTCAAACACTAACAAACTGACAAGATCTTTCACTGTCTAGTCTATGGCTTGGTACCCATTTTCACCTGGGTAAAGTGAGGAAAATTAGTGTAAATTGCTTTTCCCAAGGACACAACAGCGGGCCCGCGGCTCGAACCCCCGAACCCGCAACCTCACAATTACAAGTCCGGTAACCTAACCACTAGGCCACCAAAGCCACAGCATGCTGTATTAGTAACCCAGCAAAGCTTACAGGGCAAGCAGCTGATTAAGTACTCATTCACCTACAAATTAACCAGATCTTTTGCCTGTCTCTAACTGGGTACCCATTCCCACTGTAGTGAAGTGCCTCTGCCTAGGGCAGGGGTTTGAACCATTAACCTTTTGGTTGCAAGTTCGACATCCTAACCATCTTGTACCTTCATTTCCTTGTTGGAATAGTTTGCTCTATGCACAGATGTATCTGTGGGTGGCTAACGGATGTTCTGGTGTGGTTAACTCCTTTTTTTTATCATCCAACATCTTAATTGTCATTATATACCTCTCCTCATATGTTACTCTAAAAAAACCCACGTCAAATCTTCAATTTTTACCTTATCTAATTGTGTTTCAAGTACCTATAAAACTCTTTCTAAATCTAAATAGATGCAGTTTGTTCTTATTGTGTAAATTACGTTGATGTCTGTGGTGTAATAGTTAGGCACTTTGCTGTTACTCTGTTAAGATTTGAGTTTAGTTTCCAAATGGGAAAGTCGTTTTATTGAGTTACTACCTCCGTCTGTCTGTTGGGATGCTCAGTCCCACTCAGCTTGTGTAGGCCCAGACTGGCAGGGTCAAAGTAGCCCACCTCCTTATTGGTTTAGGATCTGTGGAAGGAGGTGCCAAACATTTTTGATCCGTGAAGTAAATCACAATGATTGTTCTTCTCAATTTTAGCTTTGTCCAAATGTGTTTCTCTTTCCTTGGTGAGTTTCCTGTTTCTGAGCCTACTCTGTTTGGAGACTTCATTGACGTTCTCTGCTGCATGCTCTGGTATGGTCATCATCATCATTGCCTTTCTCACCCTGGGTCAGGATATAGGCCACGAACAAACACTCTCCACCTTTCCCTATCCTGGGCTAGTTGCTTGATGTCACTCCACGTCTTCCCACTTTTCTGTACATCCATTTCCGTGACTCCAGACTGTATCCAGTGGGTTTTGCTGACTCCTAGTATGTGCAGCCTGTATCCTTTCATCTCTTGTGTCACTTGAGAACTCTTTCCTGCTTCATACATGGTGCGAACATTCCACAACGCAATCCGGAGACACTTGTTCAACTAAGAAGGTTTCGGGTCAGAAGAGTCTTTTCGGCTTTGTCCGCTGTTCTTCATTGTTCCTGCTGTTGCAGAAGCTCCCTAGTCTCCCAAGATGGAAAAATTATAAGGCATGTTTGTTCGTGTTTCTATAACTTTCCTTTTTTACTGGGTCGGGTAGTTGGCCCTCCGCAAACTGTAACTTTTCGAGTGGCCAGACCTACGCATCTTTAGTCGCCTATCACGGCATGTGTATTCTTTACTCCCCCATAGTAAAACTATGGGGCCCCCCACCTGCAGGGGCGTCTGGTATGGTAGGATGGCTTTAATGTCCCTCTCTGTTACGCTACCTTGGAGGCAGAACCGTTGAATTTTCCATGTCCAATAATTATAGGATTGAGCCTCGTGACTCTTGATGACTCTTCAGTCAACTCAAGTTCTAAAGATGCCCTACCAGGAATTCAAACCCAAGCCATCATTTCACTCTCTTTGCCCTGTCCTTTATGAACTAGGTATGGTTAAGAGGTCGGTCCTGAGCAGTTGTTTCTTTTTTAATTTCGTGAAAACCTATTTTTTAGTATTGGCCTATAAGCTTCCGGTAAACTCTTGATTTAGGAAGTAGTATGGAATGTTAATTGTAGGTGTTGTATACTCTTCACCCAATCAACTCTATATTATATATAAAATTTAGCACTTACAGGGCGTGAGCTTCTACTACATGACTGTCAGAGCCAACACAGGGTAAGAGGGACACAAGATCACATGATTCTCAATTAAGGGGGGTCTAGCTAGCTAGCTGCCAAGAAAAGCTAGCTATCTACGTCATTTATGCAATTTTTTAAACCATATTTTCCCAAAATATGTGGTACCATCCCAGAAATAAATCAAAATGCTTAAAAACAGTTTAACCCAAAGTGTTATGTAACACCAGCGGCCATATTGAAATTGTACTATACTTAGGAAAGTCTTAAAATTTTGAAAACCAAAAGGTATAATATTAATTTTATAATAAATATCAAGTAATAATAATCTTAGTTATAGGTACCTGGCTTGGGTTTTTTTTGGTATACTTCCAATGTTCTGAAATTTCTGGGGGTTCCAAAGTAATGTCCCTTTTTTGGTACCTATTTTGAACACAAAATCAAATTGTAAATACGGATTTCTAAATATTAAGGTACATTTTCTCAAATAACTAGCCAGGTGTCTGTAACTACCAAATCTGCTCATACTTTGAAGGTTTCAGTACTTTTTCTTAATTAGTAGCTCAGATTTTAAGATTTTAGTGATGAAGGGTATTTCAAAAATAAAGTTTTGAGAAATGAAAATGTCACTGTGTAATTTGAGGGTTTGCTCCTTCTTGTGGTTCCAGTGCCATATGCACTATTATTTTTAATCACATAAAATCTAATTTCTGTACAGTTACAATTAGACTCTAACCTCATTTATGGAAGTTTAGTGAACCAAGTAGACACAAAATGTAACAAAAAAAGAGAGGATAAGTGACCAAGCAGTCGTTTTTGCAAGAGGGGGGTGAGGTCGTTTGAGACATATTTTCACCTCTATTTTATTAATTTTTTTTAACCAAATGGACCAGAACATCTGATTTAGCAATGATCAAAGGTGTTAAAAAGCTGTTTTCCAGAAAGTCAATAATTTCATCGAAAATTGACCCAGAACATTGCCCGCTAGACCCCTTAAGCAATCCTCCTCCACACGAGACTCAAACTTGTGTCTTCTGCATGCAACGACAAAGTGCGTTTTTAAAGCATAACAGACACTGGTGGATAGGTCTAGTATGAGGCATTAAAATTTAGTTTGAAACATTTTATTTGCTGCCATTGAAAGAACATGCATGTGTTGTGGGCGTACAACATCAACAAGAATAAACTTCTTATGATTGTCTTCTTCTTAGCTTTTTTAGCGGTTGGATGTTGTTTCTTGTACTTTTCTGCAATGACACACCTGGACACCTGTCTCTTGCAATTCTGTCTTCTTGGGTTGTTTTGGTTCTAAGCCAGGTTTCTATGTCCTGTTTCCATCTTCTGTTAGCTCTTTCCCTTCCTGTCTTGCTGTCTACTTTTGCTTAGATTCTAAAATATATAGGGGCACCATGGTGAAATCAGGTGCACGTCAAAATTATGAACTTGAAGAAACAGGCATTTTTCTGCCAATTTTGCAATTTTTATAGAATTTTGGTTATTTGTTTAAACATCTTTTAAATTATGTCCGCATAAAAACAGATTTCCATGTGATTGTTTTAGAAAAAAGTTGATTAAATGCATATAATTTTTCAGTTTTTAAGTACTCTTAAATTATTGAAGTTACTAAGCTTTGGCACCCATTTTCTTGCTTATTTTACCCCTGAAATCAGGCGACTCCACCTCCTTCAATTGCAATATTTAGACTTCTATTAATGATTGATGGGTATTTTTTTCATCGACAGCAAGACAAATAAATAAACTGTATGATGATATCAATAACTCCACATGCCCAAAAATTGACGAGCGCCTGACTCCACCGCGTCAGGACGTATGTTTCTTTAGTGAATCATGGTGTTTGGTATGTCCACAGTCGTTCAGTTTCAGATTCATCATGTTCTGGAGGAGTGTTGGTGTTTCTATCCTATTCCTCATAGTACCTCTTTATTCTTAAACTTCTGTTTCCAGGATATTCTTAGAGTTCTACTATAACATTTCCTCTCCAAAGCGACAGTATCCTCATTTTTCATCTCTTCTTCTGATATTGAATAATTCTTTTTTTGTTGTTTTGTTTTTGTAAAGTGTTTTACGGCGCTCGCAACTGCATAGGTCATATGAGCGCGCGGGACACACCTAATATTTTCAGTTGGTAGGAAATTTTGAATTTTGCCCGGGTGGCGGCCGAAGCCTACTCTTATCGATTTTAGACCACCAAGGGATCTTTAGCGTGCGCAACTTGCACACGGGCCCTCCGAGATTTTTCGCCTTTGTCCAAGAAGGCTAGGTGTAGATCTTTCCTACCAAAAGATCAGGGTTGTGGCAGAAAGACAGCTGTAAGAAGGAGTCAAGGAGTAGCAGTAGAAAGGCTGCAGAAAGAGTCAGGAGCCCAGAGGAGGGGGCAAAGGAGGTGAGGGGGTGGGGGCAGAAAGAGGAGACGAAAGCAGACGACAGAATATTGCTAGAGAGCAGGAAAGGAGGTGAAAGGAGACAATTTTAGAGAAGAAAATTTTTCGGTCACTACCCGGAATCGAACCCGGGACCTTTGAATGAGAGGCCAACACCTTAACCTCTAGGCCACGAGAGCCCCCATTGAATAATTCTATTTTGTTTGTTTGTTACAGACTGAGCAGTTTGGATGGCAATGGGCTACAGAGAATCGCCTTTGAACATTTTCGTGACCCAGACAGGTTCTACACCAGGATCAAGAAGTCCTTGGGGCTGACAGTGTTCCAGAGTCTTGTGGTCATCAGGGGTTTGAAATCTCTGCTGGAGGACCAGAGCTAAGCTCGGCGTTTGCTGTGGAGTCGGGTCAGTTGGGTTCTGTTTGTCAAAATCAAATCAGATTGATCTTGGGGTCAATTCAGGCACATGCATATTGGGGTGACGGACTGATGGAGGTAGTTTGTTACTCTAGCTGATAGATCTGTGAAGGCCAAATGTGAGGCGGGGTGTTGCAACCAGGTGCTTGTCAAAATAATGAATTTGAAGAAACTGGCATTTTCTGGCCGGTTTGGCAATTGTTATCGAAATTTTGTTTTTTTGACTGAACACCTTTTATGTTTATTTAATGTGCCGGTGAAAATTTTCCGTTCTGGTCGCCTGGTGCAGTTCTGGGCCAGGCCCGATAAGTCCGTGGCAATGGATCTCCTGGATGGGTGACCAGATGGTGTAATTTGTACTGCTGGCTGTGTGACTGCAAAGTGTTAAGAACTCATTTCTGTGAGGATTTTACTTAAATTAAAGGCACAAAAATTGTAACTTGTCTGTGTCCACAGATTCTCAGGCTATGTAAATAACCAAACTTTGGCGGCATTTTCTCTCTAATTTTACCTCTGAAACCAGGCGACCCCCACCTCCTTCAATCACAAATTTGAAATATCTTGACTTGTAGTCAAGATAAATGGGTATTTCTTTTGTTGAAAGCAAGGCAAATTAACAAACTTTAAGGCGATACCAATAACTCCTCATGTCCAAAAATTGACGAGCGCCTGATTCCATCGTGTTGTGACACCGATGTAAAATACCTGACTGTCAAGATTTACACTTGCCATATTACACAAGTTGGTCAGGATAATTTTTGTTCTTTCTATTTGATTTTCCTTGCCTTTGCCATTTGTCATTTTTGCATAATATGGTATATATTTTTGAGAAATTGGCTTGCCTTTTCATGTAAAGTACATAATAAAGAATTTGATATGTCAAGTATTAAAGTGCTTTAAAGTCAAAGGGAGTGTGTGACTTTTAAAGGGCTCTTTTAGTTAATGAATCATGTTAACTGAATGTTGGTGTGAGTGTTTTTTTTTCTTTTTTGAAGCATAACATATATGATATACTTCGATGCTAACACATTTTCTAAGTGATTTATAGATGTCTGACACCTAATCTGGACATGTGACGGCAAGTAGAAATGAGCACTAGTCAATTTAAAAATAATTTTTCTAGCTTCGGCGTTCTTTGATACTTTCGTTTTAAAGTTCTATTCCGAATCTCATTTTGTTTGAAATTATATGTTTTTCCTGGGCATTATTTGGCGAACGATATTGAACATCAAATCTTTTGTCTTTTACAAAATCTCTTTGATTCCTTTGTACTTCTGTCCTTTGAGTTGACAAGTGTAGCAGTTAAAATGCCGCACTGTCTCACACAGGAGACAAAAGTTCGATTTCCATGTTGGGAGACTTTTAGTTATTTAAATGTATCTCCATCTGTTTGCTGGGACTTTGCTTCCCTCTCAGTTCTGTTCTGTTCTATTTGAGGTTCAACTTTTTGATTATTATATCACTGTGAAGAAGCAATTTTTTTTTTTTTTGGAAAAGAAAGTTTGAGATTTTTTTCCTGTTTGATTTGTTATTGTTTGAGGATTTTGGTTCTTGTTCGTTTTACCATTTGATGTTCTCCTTCCTGCTCATTGAAAGTTCTTGGAGTTTGTTTTTTTGGACAAATTTTCACATGATCTTATGCTTCATTGAGCCTTTCACATTCCTGCTACTCAACGATTTGCTCTTTTTGTTGCACTCTCATTTGTTTTCAGAAATGGTACAATACGTTGAGTGCGTCTTGTCATTTGTAAAATTTGTTTTTGAAGCGAGATCAATAATAATAATAATAATAATAATAATGAGGTATCCTTTTATGATTTTTTTATTCTGTGGACTTTGATTTTGATTGGGTGCCCTGCTAGTCACTGTGGGTGGTTGGCAGGTACTTGTCAAAGAGAGGTAGCCATTAGAACAGGCTCGACTGTAGTGTCAGGGAGTTGAACAACCTTTACAGCCTCATAGTCATATATCCCTTTATGCGAATCGGTCACAGTTTTGTAAACCCACATCCGTGGTGTAGTGGTCAGGCGGCTCCTTGCTATTGCATACAGTACAGAAGACGTGAGTTAGATTGGCAAGTGGGGGAAGTCTGTTTCATCAGGAATTTTCCCTATCTGTCTGCTGGGATGTCGTATCCTGTCCCCGTAGTTTTATGCGCGAAAAATTCTGAAATTATGCAGACTGGGCCCCAAAATGTGAAACTATGCGATTGTGTTAATTTATCAAAGAATGATATAGGAAAATAATCAGAAATTATGCAAAAAATGATCAAATTTCGCTAAATTATGTGGGGTGCATAAAACCACGGGGACAGGTCCTATCCCATTCAGCCTAGGCCGAACCTGACTGGTGGGGTTAAAGCAGCCTGCCTCCTTAATGGGGGGTGTACAACTTTTATAATATAGGTAATCTCTTTGTAAGATTATTGTGTGTGTGTGTGTGTGTGTGTATGAGAGGAGTTTGTTTAGCATCGGTTTTACGGCACATAAAACACAATTTCAATTGATAATATAGGTGCCTAAGATTACAGGTGTTTCAAAAGAGTAACCAACACAAAAGAGAAGGAGGAAAATAAATAAGGATGATTGATGTTTGATACGAAAGAAGGAACAAACCACATCAGAGCATCCACCAACCAGTTTATAACATGCTTTAGTTGTTTGTGTTTGAACGGTTTTATTAAGTAGCCTAAAAGGAAAAGGGCAGAAAAACCAAAGGCACATGTGTTTTAGTGCTGTGGATTAAATACACTTTGTTCTTTGTCCATTTGACTTTCTCTGTAACAACATACTTACCTCCCTACAGTGGTCATTTTCCATTCTAATAATATAATGATGTATGTTCTGTTGGAGTTGCATTTTTGTCTGTTGTTGTTTTTGTTTTTTTTGTGTTTTTGTTTTTTTTTGGGGGGG